GCGACGCCAGCCAGCCGCGCGCACGTCACGGGCGTTGGCGCCCGACGGCGCACTGGCTGCTCACGTTGCCTTCACTTCTCCCAGCAAACGATTCTCAAATGTCAGCCGAGGTATTTTCTTGAGTTCCGGAATACCTATTCCCACTCCCTTTAGCAGCGTAACATGAATTGGGAGTAACCGTTAGCGATGAATGTAGTCGTCAAAATCTAATTACCACAAATGGCCGTTCCTGTATAAGAGAAACTATTTTGCATATAAAAACGAGCTATACACAAGATATAATAGTCCTGTGGTCGAAATACCCAACCTCTCCTCCCCACACACACCTCTCGCCACTAGCGAAATGAAGGTTCAAGAAATAGTGCACGGATAAAACGCAAGTTACGACGTGCTCACACAAGTGCATTAGTCCTTACCCTTCAACAAGATTTCTGGAAAAAATCTTTTTATTATTAATAAATGAGTAAAAGTAGCCTATCTAGTAGCAAAAGAATACATGGCCAAACTCTAAAAGAGTTGCACTCGTGAAATGAACACCACCGGGCTGAGCCCAACGCGAGTCGAGTCGAGCGCTGGGAACGATCTGTATTCCCACCGCCTGTGCACCTCCTGCATCGCTCAACGTCGCCCTGCAATTTATGGACAGAGTCACTCATCAGATCGTCTCGCAGAACATGATAGGCGTTTTTTATTGGTACACGTCAATGAAATATTGATTGCAACCAATTTACCAACCCAATGTGCACGGTCAGTCCCGGTCAGAAATTTTCCGCGAGAAATTAAGTGGAAAGGAATGACAATGGCTAATTGAAATAATAATAATAATAATAATAATAATAATAATAAGGGGCATAAGTGCGGGGGGGGGCTAACGGGGCGTCAACCCCCTAAAAACCATTTTTACATATTAAAAATATAGGATTTACTAATTTTCTATACTAAATAAATCATTCAATATATTAATTGTTTACGAAAAACATTTTAACTAGAAAGTTGGCAAATAAAATACATTTTATATCAACCATAAATGAAATTCTTAATAAGAAAACAAGTCGGCTGGACCTGTAGACACCCACCAAAAAAATCTCTTGCGCGCATCTCGGACAATAACATCATCAACAACAATAATAATAATTATAAAAAACTGTCAGGTGAAATAAAAGAGAAAGCATTTCATTGGTTACAAAGCATTACAACAAATAATTATTCCTGGGGAATTTTACGCGGGCTCGACTCAAGTTATGGCAACATTATTCACGAATAGCATAAATGACGAGACAATATTTCGCAGTTTGACATGAACCACGCAACTCGGGACGCCTGTTCTTTCGCCCTATTTCCTTGTTCGTGGGTAATATTTCTCACGCTGTTATCGCCTGCGATAAGGCAGAGATAACGTTGCAACAACAGTGAGCCATATCTCGGTTTACAGATGTTTTCTTCTTATAAAAAAAAAAGTATTAAACATTTATTTACAATCTGTTCATACATGAGAACAAAAAGTAAATTTGTCGACTAGATAATAAGCATTGATTGAAGAAGATACAGTATTTCACCATTCATACAGTTGATTACACTTATAACTACACTTCAAAATCAGTGCTGTGAATCTAAAGGTTTGAATTTTTTAAGACGTTTATTTTCAAAACTTTTTAAAACGTTTAATTTTCTAACATATTTAAGGCTAAAGTATTTGAAAGGCATTCTAATTTTTGAACATATTTAGAACTATAATATTTTATTTCTTCGTTAACTCTGGCATTTAAAAATCCAACTGAATTACATAATTTCGAACATATAAGGGGGCATTGGCAATATTTCTTAAAACTTTACGTTGGAGTCTTTGAATGATTTGGATATTGAACATATAAGGGGCCATTGGCAATATTTCTTAAAACTTTAGGTTGGAGTCTTTGAATAATTTAGATATTGGATTAGCTACTGGTGCCCCGGAGCTGTATGCAGTAAGTCCAAACAGGCTCTGAGTAAGACTTATAAATGAGTAATTTATTGCCTGAAGCTAACAGTACGTTTCTACCTAACAATCAACACAGATTTTTTCTTCTTCTAATTTAACTGGGCTTCGTCACTCGTGACGTGGTCGCCCTCACAGAGGCCGCGTGGGAGGGAGCGGGCGCGACGAAGGCGGGGGCGAGGGCGGGGGCAGAGAGAGGAGCCGGCCTGGCAGCCAGCTGTTTCCTCGGAGCGGCTTTAAAAGCCCCGGGCAGCGGCGGCCTCCCATCCTCCTCCACTTGATCCGCTGCATTGCGTTCACGCACGGCTTCTGCTTCCGAGTGGCTATCACTCCCACAAATGATAAGTAATGTAAACTACACTCCAACGGCACTGCTTGCATTCTTCTTCTACATTTCATTTTTGGATCTATTACTTTTTCTTACTTAACCAGCAAATGTTTTGAAAATTCTTTTTTCAGTTTTTAATGGCGAAAGTAGATATACCACATTGAAAAAGAATTGTTCACCAAAGCAAGAGAAGCGCACATGAAAGTGGGAGATATCTTTATTGCGTCGATTATGTTACGGTATAACCAATTGGAATCTTTGACACTGCCTAATTTATTCTACTTCGCATCCTCATTACATTTTTTTTCTCAAACCTAGGAAGAAATTATTTTTGTATTAGCTCCTAAATAGTTTTTGTGGGTATCGTATTACAAAAATAAACAAATAATTGAAGAAAAAGACGCAGTCCGATGACCTAAAATCGTCGTAAATAGTCTGGCTCTGTTCGCGAGTATAATATTGTATTTACATCTGCTCGGAAGAATGACGTCATGCTCTCATTAGCCTCTCAATTCGCTGGCGTTCGAGAAATCCGGCGCCTGTCGGTACGACATGAACGTGGAGGAAAACACGCGCGACATGCGACAGACAGAAAATTAGGAAGATTGGCGCCGCCTGGCCCGGTTCAAAGGGGCGCAGGCGGAGCGAGCGGAGCGTCCGCCGGGGCGGGCGGGCTGGGGCGGCCTGGGCCGGGCGCGGGGCTTGGCGCTGGGCGGGGCGGGCTGGCGGCGGGCGGGACCCGGCGGGGGGCGCGGGGGGGCGGGCCGGGGGGGGCGCGAGTAGCCGGTTCCGCCTTGAGAGGTCGCGCGATAGGGAATGCGAAATCGGCCGGCTGCTTTCACTGGCGGCCCACTGGCCCCGCGGCATTCCTCTCCTCTCTCGCCGCGCCGCGCCGCGGGTTGCGTCGGCGCCTCTTGGAGCGCGTAGTTGCGCTCGCACGCCGAGTCCTCAACAAGAAACTCGGTTTGAGGAACCGTTTTCCAGAACGAACGCTCCCAAGGCGGAAGCCGCGCCAATGACCTCCGCGTGGGAGATCCGCGACGAGTTACATACGCCTAATACCGTTGTCACTACTTCCAATATAAAACATTCTGTGGTGACAGCAGAGATATTAACCACAAAATAATTTACTACAATAACAATTTTAATAAACAGATAACATAGCCACACACGTCTTACGAACGTCTTCCCGTCATCAGTGGCTCCAAGTAACATGGATTAAACACGATAGGTGAAAATGGGGGATTGGTGGTACAAAACGATAGCACTACTTGTTCTCGCTTAGTCATTTGTTTATCCATAAAATCACTAGGCGAGAACAAGTAGCTATCCAGACTTCGCTCCGGACATTCTAATATAACACACACATCCTCTGCGACTTCTGCGAGGTTGAGCTAGCTGTGAGCGTTTGCCCCAAGTTTCAGGAAGAAAGAGAACGTCTGTCATCAGAGCAATACAACAGCAAATTATAAAACTGTCACAATATCATTAATTAATAACATATAATTAACTTATTGTGCGTATTAACATGCCAGTCATGATTGGGTGTCAAGTTTTTGTATTATTAAAATAATTTCTTTGTTATAGTAAACACTGTACTGCGAATATAATGTAAAATTACGTATTGAGTATGTAAACTACTGAAAAGTCGCTAATAACTTTAAGTTGATGAGACTAAAATAAATAAATAAATAAATAAATAAATAAATAAATAAATAAAACACTACAGCCCTGGGCGACTGCAGCACAAGCGTTGTCTTTTGAATCAAAATGTCGGTCACGTTTAGAAGTAGCCAAGCATCGGGCCGTGCTTCAGGTCAGGTCGCATTACCTGGAATCCTTCATTACGAAGGTATTGGAAAGGCAATAGCAAATGGTGATACTTTCCAAATTAACCTTTGGCATTTCACACTAGCTTGTGTGGATATTTTACATCATCGGCACAAAAAATCGTCATATTTGAATTAAGAGAAGACAAATCTTTAGCAGAGTATTTTTCCTAGCAAAACGTTCATACGACCGTCATTTTTTGAAGAGTCGTAGTGTAGCCTCCTCCACATCTACCCGCCAATCAAATAAATCCGCTCGTGATGTAACCCTTCTCCTGCAAACGGCCATTTTTTGTCGCAGTTCTCCCGCGCAGACTGTGCATTACCTGCGCACGCACGTTTTCTTGAGCCCTCGCTTCGGTAGTTCCGACAGGAGAGGAGAGTTTGGTTATTTTGACAAATGGAATTTAACACAGACTTTGTAGATCGCTTTTCCAAGCAAAATAGTTTCTATTACACGCGAGCGAACATTTCTAGTTTTCGGATTGCGTCTACAACGCTCGTCGCTATCACATATTCTTAATTCAACAAATGTTGGTCCAAGTCAAATAGCCTAATTTTAGAGCAAATAAATGTTAAATAAACACTAAGGCGTCTTGCCCCCCCCCTCCCCCCGCGCTGGAGCTGTTGCTCCCAATCGGCTCAACTGATGCGCCGCGCCGTGCGGCACGTGCCCGGGCGACGGCATTTAACACAGAGCAGGGCTGTCCAACCTGCAACGTCTCAAGGCCCACGACTAAAACCGTTAGTATGGTTGCGGGCCACGATTCATACCCGACTTACCCGTATTCTTCATTTCGACACTTGGCTCGTACTTGACATAATATATTTCTTGGTTCAACAATGCATTTTAGTGTCGTTTTTTGTTAATTCGAATTTGTATTATTAAAGAAGGAAGGTTTATTCGAAAGGGTATTTATACGGGGGGTGGAGGGTGGGGGTGGGGGTGGAACCATGCGCGATATCAGACAGTGCCATGCATAACACAGTGAAACACATTGGGATGATTTCGAATATCTGAATTCACTAGAAAAAAACTTAAGTGGAAACAACAAAGGCGGGTTGGCAGCAGCGTGCGTGCCCTAGGCGCACAATTGACGCAAGGACTTTCATTTTTTTTTACTAATAACCTTTCGCGGGCCACCAGCTGGACAACCCTGATAGAGGAGTTACTCTAAAAAGGGGCCACTTTGCCTGGTCTGGAAAGAAATGACGTGATGCAGGGCGATAACATTGCAAGAGATAGTGATGAAACCATTTATAAATAATCTCAATGAGAAAATGGTTTCATGGACGTAACTTGCAGTTATATTACCAGTAACGGCCGACCAGTACCTGTCAAAGTTGTCGCTTCTTATATAGTAATCTCTCTTTACCCCAGCAGAGAACCCCTACCCGGCAGCGGGGATCAAGCTTTGGGATTACGGATGGCAAACAAATATTCCATGTTTTTAAAACATCGGTGTATTTGTTCAGAAACATCGATGTTTTCTTAA